GTCGGCATTCTTCTTTTGAAACACGTCTTTAAAATCCTTATATTACTCAAGTGTACTTGCTATCGAGATCTTCTCCCCGATAGTTGAAGTTGCATAAATGACAAATGGTGTGCCTTCCTTGGACGATCTTATAAATGCTCTTACTCCAATGAATAAGGATTTCTCTATTCAAGGTTTTCTACTAGGCTTGCTCTTGGGTGGTTTTGTGGGAAAGGTCATCTTCTGCAACCTCCAATCTATAGATGGATTATGCTTTTCCAACCAAGAAAGACCAAGAATAAGAAGATTTGATGGGTTTCTAATAATATTGAAAATAATATGACTACTATGGCCCTTAAACGTCACTTCTATAGGTTCTGATTCATGGATGACACTACCAGATAATAAAGGTCGTCCATTTATGACCTCAATGTGAACAGATTTGGATTTTTGTACTAAAGGGATCTTATGATGCTTCACAAATTCTTCGTCTAAGAAACAAGCAGATGCTCCTGAATCTAATAATGCTAAGGTTCTCAGTTTCTGAGGGCCAATAAGCAAAGGGATTGTAAAGCGAAGGGCAGGTTGAGCAGAAAGAAAGGAACCTGGTTGTTGTTGCGATATTTCACTATCCAGCCGCACGGTTCCTATTATGGCTGGGCATCCTCGTTTTCCTAAACAAAGACGCCCCTAGTCCTGACAATATGTCGATTTTGCTTCTTGGGGCAGTTTCCAACTTTGTGGCCTTCTTCACCGTAATACAAGCATAGACCTTCCTCCATATGCCGCTTTTTTTCTTCTAGAGTAAGGGATTTGATACGTACCGCATCAATTTGCATATCTTCTACCTCTAAATGTGAATTCACACTGCTTGCCGTCATAGTTGGGGCGTGGCAAACTATATGTTGTCTTGAACGTTGGTCTTGGCGACGTTGGAATAGGCAGTTATCACACTTCACAACTTAGCTAATAGCTTCGTTGAGCATTTGCGGATCAGGAAGAGTTAACAGCAAATCCTTCACATCGTCCCTTAACTCCCAATAGAATTGACTCATCAACGCTTCTTTATTCCAATTGATGTTGCATGCTAATTGCTTGAATTCCGATGCATAGACTGATGTAGAGCGCATCCCTTGTCGTAGTGACCGGATCTTTGTTGTAGCCCATCCAATCTTGTTGTGTTCACCAAATGCTTTTGCAAACGCCTCCAAAAAGGTTTCTAAGTTATTTAGTATGGACGATCGTTTCTCAAACAAAGGAGCAATCATGATAGAGCTTGTCTTGTAAATAAGGTTCCAACAAGCCCAACATGTGACTCCTCTGTTGGATAGTGTTCGGGCTATAAAACTGTTATCAACTTGATTTGGTTGACGAATCCTTGAAACTTGGAACAAGTACCATCGAACTTATCCGGAAGGCTAACTCGGGGCTCCTTATATTGTAGAACCAGTGGTGCTTGTCGAACCTAAGGCAAAGTTGCTTCTCCAAGTGTAGAAGTTTGAGGCTGGTGCAACCTAGATTGTGCCATCCTAGATGCTCCATTATTATGAAGCCTTGCCACGACTCCTTCAATCTGTGCAGTTCTTTGCGATAATGTAGCGAGGGCATTCATGATAGCATCCAACTTGGACTCCAAACTTTTCGTCATACTAATGTCTTAGCCTCCAGCCATTCTAAGAGAAAGACAGAAATGACTCTACATGAAGACAATATTGGTTTAGAGGAGGGTACTCCGCAACCTCTAAAATGCCTTAAGAGCTTCAAGAAAAGGAGTAATCCACTCTCTCCAAGAAGAATAAGACTACAATATTGTAACAAAAGAAGTATCAGTTTAGAGGAAGGTAATCCGCAACCTCTAAAATGCTAGTACACTTCCAAGCAGAGGAGTAATCCACACTCTAAGAAGGAAGAAACTAGCTCTGATATCTGAGGTGAGTGAAGTCTCGACAAACTATCATCGACATAGAAATACAGACTCGAGATTTAACAAGAAGTTCAAGAAGAATTGGCAAGAACTAGATTAATCAGATGAATACAAGAACAACACCACAGAAGTGAGTTAGAGCTCCAAGAGATGTGTTGTCGAGACTGAAGAACTCTTCAGCCTCGATTCCAATATATACTCCTATTTAGGAAGCTTCTCAAGCAACTTCTACCAACTAGGAAGCTTCTAGAAGGTTTTAGAGACTTGCTTATAGAAGGTTCTAGAAACTTGTCTCTAGAAGGTTCTAATGACTATGTCCCTAACAACATCATCTAAATTAAAGACATAAATCTTCTTTTAAAATTAATTTTTATTTTAGATTGGAACTATATTTAGAGCCAATATAATATAATGGTTGAATAATTTATTTTACAAACTATATTAATAAATAAATATGTATGTATGTATATATATATATATATATATATATATATATATATATTATAGTTTTCTTATAATTTTTTGTAACCACCAATTAGCATAAACTATGTATATCAATAAATACATTTTTTATAATTTTTTTTGTTATTTAATTTGATTCCATAATAATTTAGTATATTTTACTAAGAACTTTAAACTTGATCATTTTATTTTATTCTTTTTTCTACTTCATTATATTTTATTTCTTTTTTTCTTTAAGAGTCCTTTAGAAGAAATTTAGAGTAAAATTTAGAACAAGGTTTAAGTCCAATTATTAGAGTTTAATCTAGGTCAAAGATCCATTAGTATTCTAATTTAAATTTATAACCAAGTTTAAATCTAAGATTAAAGAATTATTTGAACAAGTAAAATCTATATTTTATTGAATTTTATGTTAATACAGCTAAGAACTATTAAAAGGGAGAATGATTGTATATTTTGGGTGATATTTTATTTATAAAAAATATTATGTATTTAGTGGTCAAAATTGTACAATATTATTTAGTTTTTAATGATACAAATTATTAAGTGGAAGAGATTATTGAGTGGAAATGACTATCTAGTTAGTACTAATTAATAAATAATTGTAAAGACAAAATTTTAGTTTACAAAACCTTGTGTAAATGTATCACTTTTATGTGAAAGAAGAATATCTTTCTTACATAAAATTACATATATAAACTAAAAGACAAGTTGCCATTTAAAGCAATATGCTAGTAAAATATTGTATTTATTTAAAATAGAAAAAAATAATAATAATACTTTTGCAAAATATATATATAATTGAAGAGATTTGATTGAAGATAAAAACTTGAAAATGAACTTTAAAAAAATACTCACTAACAGTTTCACTACTTAAGGAAAAGTTATCATCTTAAAGTGCAGGTTAACATTATTGAAATAATGCATATTTTTTTTTGCTTAAAATTAAATAAAATTCATTAGTTTTGATAAAAATATATTTTGTATCTTTGTAAAAGAAAAAATGTATGTATAAATAAAAACTTTATGAAATTGATACTACCTGACTTTGAATAGACTCAAGATATAATTGCATCCACCAAGACATGAATTATTCTCTTGATTTGATTTACATTCATGAAAAAGACCAAGCTTATGTCTAAAATTATATTTTTATGAATTTTTTATTAATTTTATATAAATTTGATATTAATTTTAAATATATTTCAACGATATTTTTAAACATATTTAGAATTTTTAAAATACATTGAGATTAATTTGAAGATACTGGATTAATTTATATATATATATATATATATATATATATATATATTTTTCAAAGTTTTAAAAAAAATAAACAAATAAAATCTAAACACATCATCATGTGGTGGAGGCTTTTATTTCATTTTATTTATAGAAATGTATATATACATATATATATATATATATATATATATATTTTTTTAATTTAATACTATGTAATTTAAAAATAGTATGTGATTTTTATATAATTGGCTGAATCCAACCAAATGGTTAAAACAATGGTTAGATAGTTTTACTATTCAACTTAATATTATTTATTAATTATTTTTGAATTTAAACTAGAAGTTGCTATAATTTTATAATTTTTTTGAGATTTTAGGTATATCATAACAAGTTTTAAAAAATTTAAAAAAATTAATCGATATTTAAATGAAATTGCGTATGATTTCACTGTATTTCTGTTTACTTAATTAAAAGATGGTATTAGGATCATTTTTAATATATTAAAAAAATCACATAGTTTTGCAGCAAATTTTTGAAATAGAAAAAATTAAAATAATTATATATTTGATTGCTACATCAATTGCTTCACTCATTTATGACAAAAAATCTAAAAATAATTTTTAATGATAGTGCAAAATTCCATTCAATAATTTCAATAATTATTTATCAAAACTGTAATTCGTATATAATCGTCACGTAACACTAATTGTTAGAAAAATTATATTTTATATTTTCAAACTAATAAATAACCATAATATTAAATTTCAATGAGCAAAGTTTCCAGAAATATATTGTTGTTTCAGTTGGTTGATTCAGAAGTGTCCTGAACTTTGATTTCAGCATTCAGACATTACGAACAAAACACATCCTAAAACTGATTTTTGGAATTCAAAACTTTCCAATCTCATAAAACCAATTAGCACAAGAATTCGAAATACAAACAGTAACAAGAAAAATGTAACTAATATGTTTTAATCAATTCTGTACAAAAATTTGTACTTATATTCTTCAGTTTTTTATCCGCGGCTTTCTACAAAATATTTGCACGTCATTTTATGATATGCTTTAATCATCTCATGTGAGTATTCAGTCTTATATATGACACAACATTTTGTCACTCAGCTTTTATAGCATTTTTCAGACTTCCTATCTTTGAATCAATTCCCATATAATAATAAACAAAAATAAAAATAAATTATGGAAATGGAGTGATGCCAAGTAACTTAGGAAGCCATAGGATTGCCTTCACAATCAGAATCATATACCCGCCTCTCAAGGTTCTCAACTGAGGCTGATACTGAGCCTCGCATGGTGCTCAACTGAGGCTGATACCCTGGAAAAGGAAACCCTAATCCGGGCGCGGCGCGTGAAGCAAGCTCGGGCGAGAGAGAGAGCTTCAATGGAGGCAAGCTGCACCTCGCAGATTCCTCTTACTCATTGCGCCTCGTCGTCGTGTCGCAGCGTTGGTCTCGAAGGAGGGCTATCGTCGCCATGGCGTCCACTACGGAGTCAGTGCAGTGCTTCGGCCGGAAGAAGACAGCCGTGGCTGTGACCTACTGTAAGAAGGGTCGAGGTCTGATCAAGATCAACGGGTGCCCCATTGAGCTCGTGGAGCCCGAGATTCTGCGTTACAAGGCCTTCGAGCCCGTGCTGCTCCTTGGCAGGCAGAAGTTCGCTGGCGTAGACATGCGCATCCGCGTTAAGGGTGGAGGTCACACTTCGCAGATTTACGCCATCAGGCAGAGCATTGCTAAGGCGCTTGTAGCGTACTTCCAGAAGTATGTCGACGAGCAGTCGAAGAAAGAGATCAAGGATGTGCTCTTGAGATACGATAGGACTTTGCTTGTGGCCGATCCCCGTCGGTGCGAGCCCAAGAAGTTCGGAGGTCGTGGTGCCCGCTCTCGTTTCCAGAAGTCTTATCGTTAAATGGCGAGGCCAGCAGTTGTTACGTGGTGGTTGCTGCGGATTATGTTGTGCAGAGGTACTCGAGTTTTTTAGGTTTAAGTGACCAAAAAATTAGGGCTGTGGATTCGAGGTTATCTGGATTCTCTTATCTGCGAAGGTGCTTATATATGTTAGAACTAGCGGCACATTACAGGATTTTCTCCAATTTGGGGCTGGTTTTTGTTCAGAATGGTTTGCTCACTCATCGGTGACGTCTCGTTGAGGTGTTCGGTGATTGCTTGTAGCTTAACAATGTTCGAAGGCACATTACTCTTTCATTAGTGAGTGGTATATCAGTCAATTGTGTTTGGCGTCTTGTGTTTGGGCTATCGTGCTGACACTTTCGCTCCTTTTTCTATTTCTTAATTCTGGTCATGTTTCAGTTTTGATTAATTCGTCATGGCTAGTTTCCCCCTCTGCCACCTCTACATTTTACAGGCATCCTTTATTTGATTATGATATTGACTGCGGGAGTAAAGCAGACGGTGACCGTCTTCTCAGCGTCCATATTAATCTTTCTAGAAAACTAATGCGTGCGTAATTTAGTATGCTTCTGTGTAACGTTTAGTGAGAAAGTGAAGGGTTTGTACCCAGTTGCATCCTCCCACTCAAGTTATTACTACGCTCCGTTCAATTTTTCCACTAATGTTGAGAACATCGTTCAAGTTAGGGTACTTGAATACGATTGTCCTTTTGTAAACTGAGGTTTCGTATTTTAGTCTTAAATATAATTGTTGAGTAAGTTTATTACAGTTTAGGCTGTCTTGTCCGCTCGGGTCTATCATCTTGTATTATCGTGCTCATAATTTTTATCACTTCGTTACAATATTTTTGTCATTGCACATTTTGGTAGCATGTTGTCAGCATTTTGTAGGCAGCGCTCTTTCAGTTTAGATTAACTAATTTTTTCATGTTTTCATGTGATAACTTGTGGACATCACAAAGCGTCAATTCACAGAATACAACCTGGGATTAGAAAATGTAGTTCAGAATACTCCCATCTAAGATGGATACCCTTGGAGGACTTTGAGCACTTAAGCGTTGCCTCATGAAGGTCCACATTTGGCAAAGTGTTATGTCTGTTCTACTTTCATTTCGATACAGGTGCTTCTGCATAGGGCCAATTGGATGCAACATCTAGCACTCAGTCCTAGTTCCGAGAAGAATTAAAACCCATTGATTAGAGCTGCTTCGAAAACATCTCAGACAATGGCCATTTAGACTCCTTTCAGACTTTTCCAGCAATACATGCTGCCCATCATCAGAGTGTCTCTGGATCCTTTTCAACTAGTAATCTCTTCAACACAACATTAATCTATTAAGTAAAACTTCTTGCTGTTACGAGCTCTAACCCCATTATCTAGAATACAACTATGTGTGAAGTCAGAGTTCCGACCTCATTAACAAGGTACATACTTGTATGTTAGTATTAATCTTGTTTTGATAAGCAAAAATGAACAGAAAAAGTATACGTTGAAAAAATTGATACAATGACTTCATAATAATCAACAATACATTTATTCATATATATATTTATATATATAAATATATATTAAAATAAGTAAATATAAATTCGTAATGGATGCATAAAGAGCAAGGATTCATGTTTTCTGACTTCGAAATAAATATTTTGGACTGCAAAAGGATTAAAATTATTCAACTCTTAAATTAATAGGTGAAAAATGTTTAGTGTGAATTTAGTATAATTCTGTGACATTTTGTGTAATTGTAGTTTGTGATAGTTAAACAATCTGATGGAATAGAAGTCTTGCAAATTATATTTTATTAGAATTCTAACATTAATATTACTTTATACCGAAACATGTTTGTTTATTATTGATTTATATTGTAAATAATCCATAATTTATATGTAACTATGTTAAAAAAATCAATAATCATGTCAAAACAATCATCTTGAAATAATCAAAAATTATTTTGAAGCAAGTTGCATCAAAAGAAACATTTTATTACTTATTATTTAATAAAACAATTTGCAAATTTCAAAGACACCAATTTTTATAAAAAAAAATAACAAATAATCATATATAGAATCTCGTATAATTAAAAATCATATGATTATTTCTAAGGTTCAAGACAACTCATTGGAAGAATCACTGTCGTGAAGATTAATCTTCACTTAACGTTATTCACCTTATTTCAAATGTAGGATCATAGTTAGATAATCAAGCACTATAGCTCACCCTGAATATTCATTTTCTCAAAACAATTGGCATAGCAAGTATTAATGCTTCTAAAAAGTTACATGATTACATCAACTTATAGGAAACCCTCTATTTTACACTTGTAAATAACATAGGTTTGATAATAGATAAAAAATTGGATTATAATAGCATGTTTAGAAAACAAATCAATCAATTGCTATAAAGACTTATTTAATATGGAATTATCTATAGAAGATGGTTTAAAAAGTTATTTCAATCTCTAGTATTACTTCTCTTTAAAGTATTTAATTAAATTTTCTGGGAACAATAATAAAAATAGAGTCAGATTTTTGGCTCAATTGCTTAGTTTTTATACACCTTCACGTGTATTTTCTTAAAAAAATGTGTTGAAAAAAAAGAAGGAAGGATGAGGAAAAGGAGGTGAGAAGATGGAGAAAATAATTTTTTATTTTATTTTTATTAATAGATGATATAAAAGAGCCAAGTCTTCTTTAATTCAATATCATTTCACTAATTCTAAACTAAATCCTAGATATTTGGAAGAAAGCATGATAAAAGAATCAAGACAAAATATATAGAGATACCTTTGAGAAATCTCATTTACAATAACATTCAAGAAAACTATTAAATTCTATTATCTCTTTTGTTGTAGTAAAAAAAATTAAATAACGAAGAAGAACTTGAATAGAAGAAACATTTAGAAGAAACTTGTATCAAGTTGTAAGTAGATTCTTAGAAATTTATGGTATAATATAAATTGAAGCATTAATAGGATGTATTAACAATCTTTGACCAACAAAAAAATAAATAATGAGCAAGCTAGAGCTAAAATAAAATGGATAGATAAAAGAGACATATGTACTAAAAAGTATATTAGGATGTAAGAAAAAAATTCTAAAAAGTAGAGTATTTAGTCTTAGAGATTAAATTTGGGATGTACACAAAGAGAAAGAAACAATACAAATAGGACTTGTTTGTTTGTTTGTTTGTTCGTTTGTTTGTTTGTTAGTTCGTTTGTTTTTGTTTTTGTTTTGATTTTTTGTTCTTACTAAGAGAAAATACTTCTAATAAATAAAACACTCACTAGAAGTAAACTCATTAAGATAATAAAAATGCTATTTATTGACCTTGAAGCTGATTTTAGCATTAATGGTTGGAAATCCTCTAATTTTTTAATTGGTTGAGGTGTTAGAAAAGGATATCCTTTGGCTCTATATCTATTCTAAATTGTAAGGGAGATTCTCAACTTCAACCAAAAATTTGCAAAGAAACTCAATAAAATTGAAAGACTCACTTAGTTCCAAAATAATAAACACATAATTACTCGTTAATATGCAAAAAATTAAACTATTTTTCTTATTGGTAAAGAAACTAATATTGATGATGCTATTTCCATCACCAATTCTTTTAACAAGGCTACATATAAATTGGAAAAAAGCTTGCTGCATCATGTTTGCACCAATTCTTGCCAATTTCAATAGATAAAAAAATACATATAAAATTGGGCACTCCAAGAGAAAGATAAAGATTAACACAATTAAATAAGATAAGACAATCAAATTACAAAAAACTGGTTTCCACCAAATCTAGAACTTATAGAGTAAACAAGATATTAGATGAATATATGGTATGCATTGAATAAATCACATAGGATTGTCGACCAGATCATGTGCCACTTGCTTGTGGGACTTGCCATTGAGCAATCCATATTCTATGCTCTAAGATTAATATTCTAAGGAGGTATTATTCCATGTCTTGAATAATTCCAGGCTTGATTCAATTAGTGAATGATCTATTCCAGGTTAGCTTTCCAAATTTGGGACATTAAAAAAATGGACGCAGTATTGTTTCAAAATATTCGCGGTTGACTGCTTTCGAGTTAAATCTATGCTGACGTTTAGTTGGCAAAATCTATGCTGCAAACAACAACAACAACAACAACAACAAGACTCTCCGTGGCTATCCACAAACTTCAAGTTTGACGTCATAGATCCCATTAGGGTCCCAAGCCTTGCACAGTTTCATAAACAATCCATGAGGGTACTCGTCTGGTTCCATACCATGAAGCAGGAACTCTGCAGAGTGCTCGATTGCTTTCGATCCGGTGAGTTAGCTCGAGATTGCGGTGCTCTGCAGATCCTACTGATGGCGATGACGGGAGCCAGAGCTGTTGCGATCGTCGCACTCGTCCTCGCTTTGGTGGCAATCGAGGCACCGACGGTATGTGCCACCAGAGCGACCAACAGTGTGGCGCTGCAGTGGAACCTACTCTTTAATGTGATCCACTGCAGGACACCAGGAGGAATTACTGAAAGCAACATCGTCCTTGTGCAACTGCACCTGGCATAATGGCACGCGCTCCTAGCGCTCAAGCGATTGAAGCATCCCGGCACCACTGGTGACATCGTGGTGGCATATGCGAGTCACAAGGTGTTGTCGAACTATTTCCCCTTCGAGCAGGTGACCTCCATTGACCCGCTGCTTCATCTGCAGCTCCAGGAGCTTGGTTCAACTCATTCTCAGTATATGCTGGGAAAGCGGATAGGTGAGGCTGTTGCGATCTCAGTCATCGATAGTAGACGCCCGGGAAGAGAGTTTTCGTTGCAAGCGGTGAAGGATGCTTTGAATTCAGACGCAAATAGCCCTGATCCGGGAGTGTATCGCTATTTGAACAATACTCCGGCGGGTCGCGCTGCTACGACTTTCGTGTATTATGACGTAGTGTCTAGGAAGCCATATGTGTTGCCGGCGCCGATTAGATTCATCGACGCTTATCTAAGTAACCTGAGGCCCCCAAGGTGACGTCTTCAGAGTGGCACAAAGAGTATGATCAGGTGATAGATGTGGGCAGGGCTGGCTGGGAGGGACGGACGGCTGAAATGAACTTTACGGCAGCTATGATCGGATGTTCGAAGGTGGGCTCCACAAGATGCTTTCCCGAGCATATTTGGAGTGCAGCGGCCAGAGCTTCCTTAAGCGGTGAGACGCTCTACGACACAGTGATCACCCTCGCAAAGATGGCAGTAGCATTGCACGACGCCCAAATTATCCTGTCCACTTTGCAATACGGCTTCTGGTTCTGGCGTCCCGAGATGGCAATGAAGGCTGGCGACGCTGA